TCGATTAATTTAAATTCATGCTAAAAAATTTACTTTAGGGTATAGTGTTTCATCTCAGAAACAATTTCATTTACAAGGTTTGAATTCAGAATTTTAGTTAAAAATGAAAGAATATTTATCACGCCACTTCACTAGATAATGTAACAAGATTTTCCTATCGTGAATCACATGCATGCTCCCTAATTATCCCCCCTTTTAGGATTTGGTTAATAGTCAATTTTAATTTCCTTCGTTGTATTTTTGTAAGTTAAAAATTTAAAATATGAGACACAAATTGGACATGTTAGAATATATATATATATATATATATATATATATATATTGCAAGAAAATTTTAAAGAAGGAAACAATGGCTTCAAGACAATTTTTACTTCTTCCATATAATAGACCATAAACCTATTGCAAGAAATTAGTCGAAAATGCAAAACCCAACTTAGAGTCTGTTTGGATTGACTCTTGACTTATTTTTATTATTTTGACTTAAAATCAAGTGCTTAAAAATATTTTTTTATATTTTAGCCAAACACTGTAAAAATGCTTGTTACTTAAAATTATAAGTCAATTCAAACAGACTGTTAATTAGTAAATTAAAGTGGATGAAACCTTCTTGTTCCTCATTTCTCAAGAATTGCATCTTCCAAATATCTCCAAAAAGACATTTATATACTTGCTAATTCCTAATTAGACATACAATTTGTCAAGCATATTTTTAGATTTGACATTTGATTATATTTAGTATTTTCCACAAAATACATTTAACTTTGTGAAGTATCAATTTGCAATCTATCCATAGAATTGTAGTTTAGTGGTAAGGTAGTAGCACAAACTCTGAGATTGGGATTATGTCCATATCCAGAATTTCAAAACTTTTTGTACATATTGATATATCTGGTAATAAAGCTTATAGTTACCAAAAAAAAATTTGCAGCAAATTAGACCCTTAATTAATAACACTCGAAAAGTATGACCTAAATCATTATAACATGTGGCCTTTGTAAGATATTTATGTGTCAAAAAATGGCCAAACATAAGGGTTGAATGGTTCGAGTGATATTATACTATTATATAATACTATCTAATATCTTTAGTACTATGTTAATGTACATAACTTAAAGCCTTCGATAAAATATAGAAGTGTTACCAACATTTTATTTTTTATACAAAGTTTTGATTATGAGGCTGATCGAAGACCCATTATATACTTCTCCCCATCTATGTATCATAATTTACATAACAATACTTTTTCCTTTAGACGTTCGAAAATATTCACTAATACTTCTCCACTATAACTACATATTTAATTTTACATTTAATTATATTATTAAGTTTCTATCATCCAAATCTATTTAACTAACTACTCAAATTTAAAGTTTTGATGTGAGACTTTATTTTTAAAAAAATATCTTTCAACTATTTTTCTAATTATTTTCTTCAAGTAATAATTATTTTGATATATGCAAAAATCAAGCTAGCTAAGATTCTAGGTTACATATAACTAATCAAATATAAATATCCTAATTATACAAAATTGTGAGAGTTAGGGTGTGTTTGGTATGAAGGAAAATGTTTTCCTAGAAAATGTTTTCTTGGAAAACAAGTTGATTTTTGACTTATTTTCTCATGTTTGGTTGGTGAGTAGAAAATATTTTCTAAAAAAAAAATTTAGTGTTTGATTTATGAATGAAAAATGTTTTTGAAAAAATTCTTTTATTTTACTAGAGTAGAAAATAATTGTTGAAATTGAAAATATTTTTTAAAAACAAATTTATTTATTTTTTGGGGGTGGGGGAGTCGAGAGTAGGGGTGAAAAATTGAAATTTTGAATTTAAAAATATTTTTTAAAAACAAAGTTAATTTTTTTTTTTGGGGGTGGGGGGGCTGGTAGGGCGTGGGTGGGTGGGTCGAAGGTAGGGGTGAAAAATGAAATTCTGAAGTCGAAAATATTTTTTAAAAACAAACTTAAATTTTTTTTTTGGGAGTGGGGGGGCTGGTAGGGGGTGGGGGTGGGGGGGGTTGAGGGTAGGGGTGGAAAATATGAAATTTTGAAGTCGAAAATATTTTAAAAAAAAAACTTTTTTTTTGGGGGAGGGGGGGCTGGTAGGGGGTGGGTGGGGGGTGTGGGGTCAAGGGTAGGGGTGTAAAAAAATAAAAAATTGAAATTAGAAATATCTTTTAAAAACAATTTTTAATATTTTTTGGGAGGGGTGGTGGTAGGGGTGGGGGATAGGTGTGAGGGTGGGGTAAAAATATTGAATTTAAAAACAAACTTTAAATTTTTTTTATTTTTTTTTGGGGTGGTGGTTGGGGGGTTGGTTTGAGGGTAGGGACCAAATATATTGATTTTTTCAACAATTTTTTTTTAAATTGGAAGTTGAAAGAGAGTTTTGGAAAATGTTTTCCTTAAGTTTTGAAAGGAAGTCATTTTCCTTAAATTTGAGGAAAATGAGTTGATTTGGAAAACATTTTCCAAAACATTTAACCCAACCAAACATGAGAAAATTGAAAGACATTTTTCGAAAAATGTTTTCCTTCATACCAAACACACTCTTAGTGAATAGTATTTTCACACTCCATCTCCTTGTAATGCCATCACCGGCAAAAGATTTGGTAGTGAAGGGACATCAATAACAGCACACAAGCGTGTGGAAATTAATTAAATAATATATTATATTGTCTTTATCAATAACTAAACGATAAAAACGTCTTTAATGTGCATCTTCTAATCAGGGGCATCAAATTCGAATTTTGGCATAGATTATTTTTTGATAGAGAATGCTTCCTTTCGAATGGGACCTTACGCAACATGAATCTGAATTAGTCAGGCTTTTATATAAATATTGAATACCAAATGAAGAAAAAAATAAATTATTGTAAACCGTTTGACTAATTTTTGACAACCTTCTTTTAATTTTTGGATTGCACTCGAGTATTAGTAGAGCACATCATCATTAGGGCAATCAATAACAACACTAGTTTATGATGATGTGGCATGATCTAATATAACTATGGAACATTTTGATACTCCAAGTTCACTATATTAAAAATAAATTTTCAATTTTATTTGTCAATTTTAGCATTTAAGAAAAGATGATTATTTTTTCATGTTTTACTTTTAATATTAATTATTTCTTTCTCAAATCATTTTTCAATCCAATTAAACATCAATTAATTATAAGGATAGTATGATAAAAATAACTATGTCAATTATTATTTTCTTAAACAGTATGTCAAATTTAAGTATGACAAGTAAAAATGAACTAAGGGAGTAGAATAGTACTGGATTGGATACCAATATGCATTTCAGCCTATTAAGGCCCGTTCAAATTCAACTCAACTCGCTTATTTGACATTCCTAATATTGTCTTTACCCACCCGAATCTCTCATATAACATTTATCTAAATTAGATACAATACTATTAGGATAATATTTTTTACTTACACACCGAACACAAAAAAAAATTACTTATTTTCCATGAAAAACATTTTTCTCCGTACCGAACACACCCTTAGCGTTTTTTTTCCATTCAATAGTACTCTTGTTTAATGATAAGCGTGTTGACATTAGTTAACGTCGACGGCACATTTAATTTAAGTAGACCTAAGGGAGACCCAGTCCACAATATTCTTTGTATGGTCCAAAAAAGAAAGAAAATAAGAAAATTATGCTCCAAAAAAAGTACTCCAATAATGCCTAAGATAATAATTTATGCATGCCTAATAAATTTTTAAGTTAGAATAAAAGGCGGAATTCGTAGTTGATACTTTAGCTCTGCTCCTAATTATTAATTGGAAAAATAATAATTAATTTTTCTAGAATATGTTAGAACATATTTATAGAACAAATACTATTTATGTTGTTAGTGTATATTACTTAAGTACTATACAAAAATCAATTAATTAGTGGAGTTTCCCTTTTCTATATTTGAGTATGATCATTCAATACGTATGTAAATTTACTCCTTCAGTTCATTTTTATTTAATTTGTTTAGTACCAAATTAAAATAGATGTCCATTTTATTTGTTCAGTTTAAAAAATTAAGAGATAATTTATTATTTTATAGTATTTGTTTACCCTTATTATTAAGTATTAATATTTATTTTTAATATTTAAATGACTTAATAATAAATTATTAAGGATGATATAGTACCGACAAGGATTATAGTGGAGTGATAAGTACTCCTTATTTTTAATCAGAGGTCTCGATTTGAGCCCCCAAGAATATGGAATTGCCTTTGTTAGGAGAGTTTTACCCGCAGATACTAAACAATACCGGACGGAAACAAAAAAAAACTTTTATTACAGTCCATTCAAAAAAATATTATTCTTCTATAGTAATTTGAAATAGAAATAATTAACTTTAAAAATCTCTTTTTCAAAAGTCTGTCTTTTTTCGTGCCTAGTCAAACACTGCCACATAAATTTGGATGGAGGGACAATGATTATACTACTTCCTCCGTCCATTTTACTTATCTATAGTATATATTGACTTAGTACATCTCCCTCCCCTCAATGAACAACAAACAGAATGACAGTTTTACTATACTATCCTTGAATAAGAAAAAAATTCTATGTTTTGGCAAATAACTATAGTTAATATTTAATAAGAGTAAATTAGAAATTAAATAATAAATTATCTCTTAATTTTTTAAACTGGAAAAATAAAAATACGGAAAGGAATATGATAGATACACTAGTGAATTGTAGTTGTATTTGGTATGGATTAAATTAAACTAATGAAGATTAGGGAAAGATATGGGGCCATAATCCAGTCCATAAGTAGTGCGGTATTAACACATAATATTAGTAATTAGCCGCCCATAATATCTCAAAAAAATAGTTTGGTACTTTACTTCATGGAAACTTCTTTATTTAAGTGATTTTGAACAACTATAAATAGAACATCACTAAAACTTATAACATATTCAATATTCCACAATTCAAAAACTATTTACTAAGGGATTATACATATTAGATCAACTTTAAGAGAATTAATTAGTGAATGGGGTTCATTTCAAACATCAATAATGAGCTTCTTTCTAAGGTAGCAACCAATAATGGACATGGAGAAAACTCAGCTTATTTTGATGGATGGAAAGCTTATGAAATTGATCCTTTCCATCCAACACAAAATCCTAATGGGGTTATTCAAATGGGTCTTGCAGAAAATCAGGTAACAACATGAAAATATTTTTAATTATATTATTATCAACATATATATGCATTTAATTAGTGTTCATTTTCTCCATCTACACTCCCTTTGTTCTATACTCCATCCGTTCTATTTTATATGAGTTAGTTTGACTTGATACGGAGTTTAAGAAAGAAAGAAAGAGTTTTGAAACTTATACTCTGAAATAAGTGATATATGTTTGAGTGACTACAAATCATTTCATTAAGGGTAAAATGAGTATTTTACAATTAAATTGCTGTCATTCTTTTTGGGATGAAGTACTAAAAATGAAAATGAGTCGTATAAATTGAGACAGATGGAGTACTTATTAAAACCACCACAAGCTCCAAAGAAACTCTTGGTTTGTGTCAAAGTTAGGGTTGATTTTTATCACTGATCAACTAATAGGTATTATCTCAGAAAATTATATTTCATTTTTAGTTCAACTTTTTCAAAAAAGAAAGTGACTTAATCATATGAATAATTATTAGTATTATTACTTGAGTAACTATCTGAGAAAAAAAACCTTTGTGTTTGTCAGATATTGCAATTTATGTTTTTGTTTTTATTTTGTGTTCTTGTAGCTTTGCTTTGATTTAATTCAAGAATGGGTGGTGAACAATAAAAAATCCTCCATTTGCACAGCTGGAGGCTGTGAAGAATTCAAGGAAATTGCAATTTATCAAGACTATCATGGTTTGCCAGAATTTCGAAGGGTAAGAACTTATACCTAAAACACCGAATTATTACTCCCTTCGTTTCAATTTGTCTCATTTTCCTTTTTAGGTTGTTATATATATAGAGAGAGAGGGGGGGGGGGGGGGGGGGGGGGGGGGGGAGTGTGTCATGGCAAGCAACACTAAAATTGTATTTGTGTGATCTATAGGTTAAAAATTCAAGCTATACTGAAAGTAATTAACCACTAATATTTGCATTAGAATAAGTTGGGTGCAATCCTTTCCCGAACCCTACTAACACAGATTGCTTTGTGTACTAGATTGCCACAACATTCAAATGTCATTTGAGTACCTTTATTACCTTTATAGTCGAAAAGTCTTTTTCTTATTTTCTTAAACTTTCGTATTCTGTCAAACTAAGACACATAAAATATAACCATTAACGAAAGAAGTATATATATGTGCAGGCAGTTGCAAGGTTCATGTCAAAAGTGAGAGGAGACAAAATCAAATTTGATGAAGAACGTATAGTAATGAGTGGAGGGGCAACTGGGGCTCATGAATTACTTGCCTTTTGCTTGGCTGATCCTGGAGAGGCTTTTCTTGTTCCTACTCCCTATTATCCTGGGTAACTATTTTTTTTTCTTTTTCTTATAGTTAAAATCGCGATTTGATATTGATCCGTACCTTATATATTAAGATTCAATAAAAGAAATAGGGGAAATAAAATCGAACCTCCTTAGAAACTTACGTGATCGTTGAGGTGGTGTGTGTCAAACAATTATGAATATATTAATATGATATAGAGATCTATTATAGTTTATTTATTCACCTCAAACCCTAATTTTGCAACCATAAAAGTAAAATACAATAAAGTAAAGATAACAAAAATCATATATATTGTGAAGAAGCCATGTCCTCTGTTACTTTTTACTTGTCCAATTTTGAATTTTTATTTGTCCCCTTTTATTTGTCATTTTTGACAAATCAAGAAAAGACAATATTTTTTTACCTATTATACCCTCAATTTATTTAGAGAGTTAGTGTTTTTGAAAAAGGTCGAACCTCTTTAATGAGTAAATTGATTTTGGAATTCTATCAATTTATAGGGGTAAAATAGTAAACTCACTATATCAATTATTATTTTCTAAATAGGTGTGTCAAGTAAAAAATGAACAAGTACATAGGGACCGAGGGAGTATGAAACTACGAATTAATATTGGAAATTATCGTATGGTAAAAAATAATATTTTCTACATCCTAATTTGGTTGGTAACTTTTTGTTTTTTCTAATTTTATAAAATATTGACAACATTCTTTTTGGAAAAAAATTAGGGGTATGGAAAGGGAAAATGGGGAGGGGGGATTACGAGGAGAATTGAACTATCGATCACCAACAAGGTGAAAGTTCAAATAGTCAACAAATTGAGCTATGTACTAAAATTCCCCATTCACAACATTCTCTAATCCAAATTTATGTTGTTTTTCTTCAAATTATTGGATCAAGTGACTGTTTTGTTACTAGATTCTTGACAAATATTTCTAATTCTTACTAAAGTATTTCCAAATATTTAATTTGCAGATTTGATAGAGATTTGAGTTGGAGAACCGGTGTACAACTTTTTCCAATCATTTGTGAAAGCTCCAACAATTTCAAAGTCACAAAAAAAGCCTTAGAAGATGCATACAACAAAGCTCAAGAATCCAATATCACAATAAAAGGCTTACTTTTAAACAATCCATCAAATCCATTAGGCACAATTTTAGACATGGAAACATTAAAAGATACAATAAGGTTCATCAACGATAAAAATATACACCTCGTATGCGACGAAATTTACGCGGCCACGGTCTTCAACGAGCCCAAATTCATCAGTATTTCCGAAGTTATAATAAGCGAAAATGTTCAATGCAACCTCGATTTAATACACATCGTGTATAGTCTATCGAAGGATTTAGGGTTTCCCGGATTTAGAGTCGGAATTATTTACTCGTACAATGATGTTGTAACAAAATGTGCTAGAAAAATGTCGAGTTTTGGGCTCGTATCGACGCAAACGCAGTATTTAATATCTAACATGTTGTTAGATGATACGTTTATCGAGAAATTCGTTGTCGAGAGTTGTGAAAGGTTGGAGAAAAGGCATGGGGTGTTTACTAAGGGACTTGAAAATATTGGAATTAACACGTTGGAGAGTAACGCTGGGCTTTTTTGTTGGATGGATTTGAGAAGTTTACTTAAGGAAAATACATTTGAAAGTGAAATTGAACTATGGAGAATGATTATTAATGATGTTAAACTTAATGTTTCACCAGGTTGTTCTTTTCATTGTTGTGAGCCTGGTTGGTTTAGGGTTTGTTTTGCTAGTATGGATGATGATACTATGAGGATTGCATTAAGGAGGATTGAGATTTTTGTGGTTCAATATAAAGGGATTAATAATATTATTGAAGAAGGAATCGAGAATTCTCTTCCTATCGCACCTGGTCCAGTATCTCTTACGTCGATATCTAATAGCAATGAAGAGGGAGAAGCTCGATAGCAGAAAGTATCGAACTAGAGATTCAGAGATAGATTAATTTTGTAATAAGAGCATGAAGAATTGCTCATTTAACATCAATGTCTACTTTAAGGAATGAATATATTGAGTAGTTGACTTCACAATTTATCAAACCATTATCTGTACCTTTTTTTTTTTTTTAGTTTTCTACTTTATAATGTTTATAAATGAAACCTTCATCCATAGATTCACTATATTGAGGTAAAGTAGCATTTTAACTATTAGGGTGTATAGAATTATTACCACCAATATTTTTCATTTATGTGTTGTTCTTTCTCTTTTTCTCGTCCTATACCCTCTTATATTAGGTTTGCCATTTTGTCACTTGGATATACCATACATATGTCACGTATATGCCACGTATATATTATTGGTGCATATGACATACATAGGATATATACGATATATATAGAGAGAGATATTTTGAAATGACAAACTTAATAGATATAATAAGGCTTTATAGCTATAGTTTTGATAATTGCGTTTCATAGCTTTAGTTTTGTGCTATGGAGGCTGTGGTTTGTATATTTCTACCCATTTGTATATTTTGCTTATGAATATACAAATAGAGTAAGTATATACAAATTCTGTATTTATACATTTAATAATTTTTTAGAACTCTGTTTGTATATTTCGCTTGCTAATATAAAAACAGGGTAATTTATTATGATTTTTCATAGATCGTATACAAATAACTAGGGTAAGCATATACAAAATTCTGGATTTATACAAATCAAACGAATTATACAAATAAGGCGAACAACAATAATTGGGGGAAACTGTACATGCGAATTACAATTTTCCTAAATTGTATTTAATCATACATCGGCGTATAAATCTGATAATCCTTCAATTAGAAAATTCGAAAACAATGAAATCCATCTGAAACAAGATTGATTAATTTTACATACCCTTTCTTTAATTTAGAAAGAAAAACAAACTTCACATACTTTATTTTACTCACACAAAAAAAAAAATTAAAAAAATTGTACATGTTGATATACAATTGGTATAATTACCCCCTAAGCAAATGATCATACAATTGTAACTCTCTTCTTACCGTCTTGAATACTTTATAATGAATTGCACTAACTTGGTTGTAAATCCAAGAAAGGTGATTGTTAATGTCCAAAACTTTTTGTACCATACAAAAATTGGACTTATTAATGGTTGCACAACAAACTTGTAACTATTTAGTAACACTTGATATGCAACTTGATGATTCTTTACAAATCCTACAAGGAACCAAAAAAAATAATTCAAAATTTTTAAATTTATTTAATTTTAAAATATGGAAAAACAAAAGTAGAAGAAATTGACATACTCGAGACGATTTCAGGGAATTCATCGAATACTGAAGTTACCATATTGTACAACGCCTATTTTTGGTCAGGACAGGAAAAGACACGTGTTACAAATAATCTATTCAGAACCTAGTGTGCAAAATGATATAATTAGTAAAAGTAGTGGTAGACATACCAAAATTTTTGGTTTCATTGATGATTCTGTAATAACTTGAGCATTCCTGCATACAATATATGTTGCTTAGTAATTTATGCTTGTGTAATTATTATATTATAAAGTATAAGAGGCATAATGAGGATCAATATTTTACTTAATGAGTAGTTTTTCTCCATCTCTTGATAATTCATAGTAGCTGCAGCCTCTACTAAAGGGTACTTCTTTCTTCTTCCACTCTGAAAAAACAAGTACACTCTTTCAATTTGGGACTTTTTTAAATAACAGGCATAATACATAAACGTGCCTCTTTAATTTGGTCTCAACTGACATTTATGCCTTTCAACTTTATAAACTTGTATAAAGTTGAACAAGTAGACACATGCATCCTACGTGGCGTCCAATTAGTATAAAGCTACGTAGGACACGTATGTCTACTTATTTAATTTTATACAAATTTACGTGTCTACTTATGCACATTCAAAGTTGGAAGGCACAATTATATATTATGCCTTTTAGAAATGAGTCCTTAAAGTTTTAAGAAATGCAATTCTAGCTCACTTAAAAAGTAGTGTTTACCTAAATGCCAGTATACTATTGCTGTAAGATCAACACCTTCATGAATATTGTCTATGCTGAACTCTGTGTTTTGGTCCAAGCTTGTGGTTAGTTGCTCCAGAGATTTTAAAGCCTCCTGCATAAATTTGCAAAAGGGAGTTGAAGAATCAAATTAAGCAGTGGTGGAGCCACATAGATCGAAGGGTGGTCAATTGGACATCAGAGTTCAGTCGGAGCTATAGTTCTAGTTACTGTTCCGACAGAACTCAATAGCTTTAACCAAAACTCTATAATTATGTTAAAAGCCCACTTAATATGTATAAATAATAGAAAACTTACATAAGTCTCACAAGTTTAGGAGCGAATTACTTAAATACGCTCTAATTTGCAATATTATGAATCTTAATTATCAGATTTTGGTGCGTCCAGATATATGTATTTTGGGATACATGGGTCATTAGGTGTAATTTGTTCTAGATACATTGTATCCAGGTGGATTCGCATCTATCTTGGATACATAAGAAGTTTCGCTCACCTCCCTCCCATTTCGCTCGCTACACTCCTTTGTATCTAGTATCCCAGATACATGTGAATGACACCTAGATAAATAAAGATACATGTATCAAGTGTGTATCTAGTGTGATTCACATGTATCTGAAATACATGACTATCTCGCTCGCCTCTCTCCCTATTTTTAGTATATTTGATAGCAAAAATACATATATCTACTAGATGTATCTTCCTAAAAAATATCAAACTCTTAATTTGTGGTATGATACATAGTATTTTTAAACTATATATAATAATATGTATATGATAGTAGAGTATATCTAATTATGTAATTTCTCCGGCTTCTTTTTTAGCCCATCACTCAAGGGCTAACCCAAATATACAAAATATATAAATTGAAACCTTTTGCAAAATTCCTAACTTTGCCACGTGGATTAGAAGTGTAATTCATGTTCTCAACAAAAACAAAAAAAAAAGTGCAAACCTTTCTCCCTTGAAATGATTGAGGGAATGAAAAATCATCAAAGAAACAATCTTCTGATATGAGCAGGGCCAGTTGGTTTAGGTCCTTGTTGTTTATACTTGAGTACAACTTTCTAATTGTGTTGGATGATGAAAATGGGCTTGTGACAACATCAGGATTGACCATTGAACAATACGCGATCAAGGACCTCTGTCTGCTCCTAATACTTCTTATCTTGAATTTTTGCTCATGTACCTTGGTGTTTTTCGCGTTATGAGCTTTCAATAGAGGAATGCTTTCGCGATTCCTAAAATCTGGCGTGGACGATAAACTTTGCCAGCCAACTTGGCTTGAAAGTGTCATGTTAATAGATAACAGAGTTGCAAGATAGATCAAATAATTTTATAGATGCAATGCCTTAGCAAGGAGAAAAGGAATCAATGTACGTACCTAGTGCTTTTCTTAATAATGTTGTAAATAATGTTCTATGCCTTGCTTTAAAATTAGGATACAACTTAGAGCATGTATTGCAATCTTCAGGGCAAAGGGAATAGAATCCTCGCCAATAAGGTGAAAGTTCAGATAGTCAATCAACTAAGCTATTAAGATTCTCATATGTAACATGTTTGCTATAGGGTGAACCTCACCATTTTGACATTGAATATATACATTTATGTAAAAATTATTAAAATTTCAACGGATATTAAATTTTGAACCTATAGTTCCAAAAGTGCAATAATACAATAATAAGACTTTAAAGGTCGAACATATTTAATATTCTTGATCTGCCTCTATTTATTTTCAGGATAGGTATATGACAATGTACAATATTCAAAGAATATGTCTAAATAGTTCAAATCGAAAGTAAGAGATTCAGTTGAATCTACGGAACCTACGCTCTAACAAATCATAATTAAGCACAACGAATCAACATTAAGGACACTAAAAGTCTTTAAATCATACTAAGTAGACTAATGACAAGCAGACAATTTTTTATCATGTTAAGTTCCCCTAAATTCAGCAGAATAATTTGTAATGTATTTTTTTTCAAATGATTAACTTAATTATGAAGCTGGAAGAATTAAATATATCAATGTTGAGAGCGCTGCACATAGTAGAAATTACTGTATAGTGTGTTAAAAAATTATGGAAAATAAAAATTTACTTGATATATATCACTGACATTACAACAAAAACAACTTTTAGCGGCAATAAATAGACACATTAATAAAGAGTGCTAAAGTCTTTATTGTCATTAGTTAAGTATCATTAGATCCAATGTCGCTAAAGGCTTTAAGAACATATGCAAAGAGTGCTAATTGTCGCTAAAAATACATATTTAGTGGCAATTGATCTATTACCGTTAATTAATTGCCGCTAACAATAATTTTTTATGTAGTGTGACAAGACAAATAACCTAGGAAAGGAGATAGGAAGGATAAGAAAATGATGTGCTTAGCTCTTTTGTCATGTGATGTTGTTTAACTTGACGATATAAAATAAATTATAAATGTTAGTATTAACTTGATGATATAAAATAAATTATAGATGTTAGTATGATTATGAGATTAAGAGTAAATAAACTTTATAAAGTTAAATTATCTATCCTATAAATTGAGATATTTGAAGTCATGTATAGTAATTATGCGTATAATATACCTCATAGAGTGCTCTCTTTATACCACTTTATCTAATTTATCATTAAGAATTAGGTGTCAAAACACATATATTATTTTTTAAAATTTCATATCTAAACAATTGGGAGAGTGAGAAATACATCTAAATTATTACTTAAATAATTTGAGAAACATACTTTTATGCTGACTAGACCAAATGTATGTATACACACATTCATGCGGGTTTGACCCAAAATTTTCGTTCACATGACTTTGTATATTACTGACACGTTTTTTTTAGTTAAGTGTCAAAAACAAACTTGAACAGTTTTCGTATCTTACTGTAGTTTACCCTTTTATATCTTCATAAAATAATT